CCCCAAAACCCCAAAACCCCAAAACCCCAAAAAGCAATTTAATAGTAATGTTATACAATTATATTAATATCAAGGATATTTCTTGGATTTTTGTAATAATAATTAATGAGAACTCCTATTGTAGTGTCACTTGCACTACTTTCACTCATTGGAAATATCAATACTACTGGAACTGGCACATTCTTAGCCAATCAAGTCAAGGCTAGAAATCAATGGACTGTTGATCAAGCCAACCAGTGGTGGCAATAATCTGGTGGATGGTTCGCTGGATGCAACTTCATTCCAAGCACAGCTGTAAATACTCTTGAGATGTGGCAAGCTGAAACTTATGATCCTACCACTATTGACAGGGAACTTGGATTTGCTGCTTCTGCTGGATTCAAAGTAATCAGAGTTTTTATTCATCATCTTGTGTGGAACCAAGATAGAGCAGCATTTAAATCTAGACTGGATAACTTTTTGAGTATTGCAGATAAGCACGGTATCAAGACAATGTTTGCTATGTTTGATGACTGCTGGAATCCTGAAGGACACCTTGGACAATAACCAGCACCTATTTAGGGAGTTCATAATTCATAATGGGTAAGAGCCCCTGGCTACGCTGAATTTGATGATACTTCTTTATTCCCTCTATTCCAAGAGTATTTCCATGACATCATTGGCAGCCTCAAGAACGACAAGAGAGTTTACCTTTGGGATATTTATAACGAACCAGGAAATAGCGGTCACGGTTAGAGAACATTGCCTTTACTATAAGGTACTTTCCAATGGGCAAGAGAAGCTGAGCCCAGCCAACCAATCTCATCAGCACCATGGAACTTTGGCTCAGATTTTGATCCTTTAACAAACTACTAGTTTGAAAATAGTGATGTCATCACATTCCATCTTTACTCAGATCTGTAGTCAACACAAAGTAAGGCTCAATAATTGAAAGCAAGATATCAAAAGCCAGTCATACTTTCAGAATACATGGCTAGACCAACTGGAAGCAAGTTTTAAACTCATATTCCAATGCTTCATGATGAGAATGTTGGTGCTATCAATTGGGGACTTGTAAGTGGAAAGACTAACACTATCTTCCCATGGGGCTCACCAGAGGGTTCACCAGAGCCAAAGATCTGGTTCCATGATGTTTTTAGAAAAGACGGAACTCCATTCGACCAAGAAGAAATAGATGTTTTAAGAAAATATACTCAAGGACAATCAACCAGAATTGAACTAAATATTGTATGACATTGATTTATAAAGGACTATCAATTATTTGAATAAAAATTTACCTCCTAACTTCTTAAAAATAGATTAAATTAAGATTAATAGTCTGTTAACATGAATTCTCCAGAGTTAAATTATTATGATTAACTTTACTTTCAAATTTTCCCCTTCTTCTTTAAATATTGCTACCTAAACTCTTGGTTTGCTTCTTTTTCTTCTCTTAGTCCTAAGTTCTGCTCTTCGTTATTTTCATAAATTTTGTTTTGCATTAGAGGATGAACAATATTGCTGCCTAACTGACTCACGCCATTGTCGTCTTTTTTGCTGATGTATATATTCTTATCAATACCGAGATGGTCTGGATTGTAAAAGCTATCGATAATGTTTCCCTATAGAAATAAATAAATAAGATCATTACATCAAAAGTCTCTTGCTAGTTCTATTTGTTGTGATTAAGAGACAAGTTCTTAATGCTCTTTTTGTGATTTGACTGGATAAAGATAAGCAACTACTGAAGTTTCAGACTTACTAGTGATACATTCTCATCCACATTTTTCTTATTTATTTATATTAGAGCACTTTCAGCTGCACCTTTCATATTTATCTAGGTACTCAGATTCTACTTTATCGTAGTTTATTTATCTTGTATTTTAAGTTGTCTTGACAGCTTTTGCATGACTCCACACACATTCAGGATATTTTAATCCATCTAATTTCTCTTCTCCAGCATCTGCTTCCTTAATGCCTTTTTATTACTTAACTCAGCCATTTCTTTCTCCTTGACATTAACATTCTAGTCCTTGCTCTCTAAAAGCTTATTTTCATTTGCTATCTAGTTCTTTCTCAGCATTATCTAGTATAACTGCTGCTTAAGCTAATCCAGATGCTATCTTTTATCAAGGTTTTGCTGATCGATTTCATCTATTTAATTCTTAAGATAATCCTGTCCAATCTCGTAATCAGTCATATACTGAGGAAGCTGCTCTACACCTTAAACCATTGTATGCTATTGAATCCTTTTGAACTCCTCCTCCTTGTCCTCAATAATCTTTTCAGTCTCAATTCTCAACTTTTCCTATTTGATTTTCTCCTGTTTCTCAACTCTAACCTGCTAATCTCGTTTGTGCTGCTTATCTTTCTCTCTTTCAGCCTCCTCCTCTTCTCTTTTGATCTTCTCCATTTTATACAGTTCCTTATATTTATTGATCACAATTGCTGCGTTTTTCTCCTTCCTGAAGAAATTTTCATCCGAGATCTATTTTGAAGAGTAATGGCGCTCATGAATAAGGAAATCATTTTCCATTATTCTAATCTCCCTTTCATATTCTAGTTTATCCTTGTGACATTAAGCTATTTAATTATTTAGAAAATCCAGTTTTTGTTTTCTTTTAGGAATGGGTTCTTGCTCATCTAAAAGCAATTTCTTGTCTCTTGACCTCATATGCTATAGAATTAGAGTGTGGAGCTCTTCGTTCTAGGTCTTATGATATGTCTCATCGATCTCCTTCTGTAAACGCTCCATTTTATTAATGTCATAGTCAGTGGCCTCTAAGACAAGTGCCTCTAGAACTTTACGATGATCTTACAGCTACTTCTCAAGCATTTTTATTTTGAATAGATCGCTGTTACGCTTTTTTATCATTTCTTTCTCTTTATTTTCCAGAAGCATTTTGACATCAGATTTAACATAGGGGATAGCTTCATACTCTTTAATTAGCTACTGAATTTCATCTGATGTCTTATCACCAAATACTTCATCCCATTATGCGAGTGCTATGCCTTTAATATCTTCGAATTCCTCTTGAGCATTGATTTTATGTTGATGATCAACCCTCTGAGTTTTGAACCCTTCTTGATTATCAATGTGATTCAGAGTTTTTTGAAGGAACAGTTTGTCATGAAACTTCTGAGTTTACTTGAGTCTAGCAGATACTTAACCATTATTCATTACTAGAGGTGTCTGTGTCTAGCTCTCCTCATACATCTTTGCGAATCTCTATTTATCATCTTTAGTTAGTCTTCTCTAGCTGAGTGCTCTCTTGTCTAGTTTCCTCTATTAAATTGTATCAAGCAATAAGTATTACAACTTGAGCTTTTGAGTATAGTTTCTCAAAGAAGATTTGCCTTTATTCTTCAAGTTTTATTTCATTTTCATTGTTTACCTAGTCTGCTGCTGTGTCTTGTTTCAGTGTTTTGATAGATTCTAAACCTATCATCTGTCTCTCGTTCATTTTTATAAGTGATCTAACTTTATCTAGATATTCGACTGCTTTTTTCTGTTGATCAAACTTTCTTTTTTAGAAGAAGTCTCTCGAAGTCATTGATCCCAGTTGATTGTTCATTTATGATACATTGTTCCCCAGATAGCCTGAAGATAATTTCATATTCATTATGGCAGTTGATCGAGCAGCATTAGTCGACGGTAAAGTAGAAGCAGCTCCTATTCCCATATTCGATGTAATCAACCCAGTCAGGAAAAAATCATCTTGCTCTATACTCATAAATGTCAAGGTATTAATTAGAATTACATGTAGTTGAGATGTACTTCTCAGGCGAAAGCAAAGTCGATACCGAATGAGTTTTTTTCATTTTTAAGTTATTTATATTCCTCAATTTAATTTTATAATTATCCTTACTTTTATTTAAAATTTGGCAATACGGGGTTTTGGGGTTTTGGGGTTTTGGGG